ATAACAAATGTAATTTCACATCTTAACAATATAGAAGCTATTATCTAACTTCTTGCTGAGTTCAAGCCTATCTGACACCAGTTATTTTGGGAAAGTATGGAAAATAAGAATAATTCGGCGCAGGTGCGTTTATCAGCAGTGGGCAAAAAGAGTAAAAGGAAAAAGTCACAAAAGCAACGCTATTGGGCTAAAAAACACCAACGTTTGCCTGAAATTTGGAATGGTGATCAATTTCGGACTAATGGTGAATCAATTCCTGGGAGAGAGGTGGAAAATAATAATAATAGTAGATTTGTCAGAAAGAGGAAATTCGCTGGTTTATTGTCCGAGACAACTCATGTTGAAACTAAAGGAAATAACGCAGCTGAGGCAGATGTAAGTAAATTAGTATTAATGTGCGTATTAGAGCGGTAGTGATAGTTTTGTAATTATGTTATAGCACTATCCCGAGTGTTGATAGTAGTCGATGAAAGTTTTAAAAACTTTTCCAGTTTATAAAAAAGTTTATACGTTTACTCAAATACGACATTTCACTTTTTAGTAAACCAAAGCAAACAATGGTAGAATACATGTTAAAAACTAATGTATATACTAATTTAAGACTTGTTTCTATTACTTTATCATTGACTCCTTTGAAATACTTTGAATTTAGTGTTTAATTTAAATTTTTTAAAATATTTCCCACTGCAGCTCAGCTGTTGTTTCATCGAACAGCGCAATAATTATCAGAATAGTGATGCGGTACTATTTAGTCTCGTCCGTACAAGTTTAACAGTATTAGCAAGGTACATTATCAATTAAACAAATTCAATATATTTGTTTTACTTTATTTTTAATAAAATTGTGTACTTTCTATATTTATATCTTACACCCGTAAGATGTTTAATATCTTTTTACAACTGGTAACTATACGTTCTTGATGCTTACTCTATTTGCTGAGGTAGACTGGTTTCCCTTTTGAGATTTGTTAAATAGAAAAACTCGGAATTTAGTTTTATTTTAACTCTTTGTTTGTCATTATTTCGTAATCCAATATCAGCTAATAAAACTCAATTATGTTAAGTTGTTGAAATACACTTTCTTCTCATTACAAAATCATGAAAAGTAGGTACAGTTGATCGGTCACAGATCACCGTAACTTAGTTACAAAAGCATGAACACCTATATTATTTACGAAATACTAGGCATTAGGCATTTTTTACATGAATACAAATAAAAAATGAAAAAATGAAATCACATGAGTAACATAATTTATACGAATATAACTCATGCGATTCCTTAAGCACCATGTTAAGCAGACAGTCATGGTAACGTCACGTTGGTTAATTTAGTTTTGTTTAGTAATGAATGTATAATGTAAGGCACAAAAAAGGAAAAATGAAAAATGAGGTAAATCTTGATATGGTTTCACTTCTATATTTAAAAATACCTGCCAACCACAAAATATAAAGAGCTGAAATACAAACAGACTTTTGACTGGTGCAACCCAGAGAGCTCAATCAGAGCTTAGATTGGTGAAACAGTAACTGTGAATTGTCCACCAATTTTGTAAATTAGAGTTATGTAGTATAATATTCATTCACTAAATACAAATGAGATTCACAACTTAAAACTAAACTCTTTTATAACATATTGAAATTAATTTTGCTTCTGTATTAAAGAGGATGATGTGCTAAAGGATTTCCTGGAAAGCTCGGGGCAAATATAGACAATATATATCATAACTATTGCACATGCTTGCAATAATTTTTAAAATTGGATTCTTTGAACACAATATTATAGTAAGGGAACAAGGGAGCACTTATATGCAATATTTTTAAACTGACGATGGTTTATTTGTTTTATATATGTTTTATATATGTATATATGTTATTATGTGTTGAAAACAATCCTAACTACGGAATAGTATATATTGATTTTGCCTTACGTTATAACATATAAATTTAAACTCATTTGGATTAGTAAAGCCAACAAAAAAAATACACTTATTGTGTTCCTGAGACATGCAGCAAAAATTTTTCTTATTATGTCGTTGGAAAAATCATTACTAGTGCCTATAAAGGTAATAATATTCAAGCTTTCTAAGGAAAGCTTGTTCACCGAAATATCTAAAAAAATATAATACTATAAATAGCCAAACTTATTTAGAAAACTACTTTTCAGAAATGGGCTTAGTTAATCATTCATAAAATTTTTTTTTTTTTTTTTTTTTTTTTTGAATTTTATTTTGATTTTTATTGAATCTTCTAAAAATCAACTTAGAACTAACAATAAATTTTCGCTGCTAATTGCTGTATTAAATTATTTGAAGAAAGAAAAATAGATAATTAATTGTCCTTAGCCAAAGCTTCGTCCAATTTCGTTACCATGTCGGGCGTTATTCTTGAATAGCCGGGTTTATATAGTTTTTTTTGAGTCGCTGTGTACCAGCGCTTTGGGTAAGGTTGCTTGTAAGTGGATTTTGATGGTTCCTGAGTTTGATTTTGTACTTTTGTGTGTTGCTGGTAATTACATCTGTGACTGTGTCAATTCGAAGATCTCTATGAATATTTGCGTTTTTTATATACCAGGGGGCACCGACTATTTACCGGAGGATTTTTGATTGAGTTCTTTGAAGTTTTTCAATGTTTGATGGAGAAGCAGAGCTCCAGAGTTCAATTCCGTAGGCCCATATGGGTTTCATCATTGTGTTGTAAAGTTGCACTTTATAGGTGAGATTAAGTTTAGAATTTTTATTTATCAGCCAGTTTAGTTCTTGTTGTTTGAGTTTAATTTGGTTACTTTGGTTTCTATATGCTTTTTCCACGTAAGCCTTCGGTCGAGGTGCATTCCTAAGTATTTGGTGTCATTGCATTGTGGTATTACTTTTCCATTAATACGAAGGGCAGGACAGGTATCTCGTCGTAGAGTGAAGGTTATGTGTACACTTTTCGATTCGTTAACTTTTATTCTCCAGAGATCGAGCCATTTTTGCAGTTTGTTGAGGTGGTCTTGAACTGATTTTGTGGCTGTGAATGGGTCGTCACTATGGCTGAGAATGGCAGTGTCATCCGCAAATGTTGATGTTGTTGTACAGTCACTGGTTGGCATGTCTGCTGTAAAAATCAGGTACAGCAAGGGGCCCAGAACACTACCTTGGGGTACACCTGCCATAATGGGGAAGGCATTGGAGACAAAAGAATTTTGTTTTATAACAAATCTTCTATTTGAGAGGTAGTTTTTGATAACTGAGGATATATTGTATGGTAAATGTTTCTCAAGTTTTCAGAACAATCCTTCGTGCCAAACTTTGTCAAAGGCTTGGGTTATGTCTAGAAAGACGCCTGAACAATACTGCCTCTTCTCAAACGTTTCCTTAATTACTCGTACTATGCGGTGTACTTGTTCTATTGTGTTGTGTTTTTCTCTAAATCCAAATTGGTGGTTAGGTATTATTCTTTTCTTATTTATATATGGCATTAGTTGTTTTATAAAAAGTTTTTCAAATAATTTTGAGAGAATTGGAAGCAGACTTATGGGTCTATATGAGGTGACTTGAGCGGGGTCCTTTCCGGGCTTGGGTATCATCATGATTTTGGATAGCTTCCAGTCGTTTGGAAAATATGCAGTCCTTAAAATAGCGTTATAAATAAAAAGTAGTTGGTCTTTGGCGATTTGTGGGATCTCTTTCAGCATTTTCGCTGTAATTAGGTCGTAGCCTGGGGCTTTTTTGGTATTTAAATTTTTGATTTCGCTTTTTAGTGGTTTTTTACTGAAGCAAATTGTCATATTGTCGTTTCGTGTGGAGTAAGGCAGAGAGTCAAGTTTTGTTAAAGTAGAGATTGGGGTAAATACATATTTAAGGTGATTTGCAAAAGCAGCACCCTTTTCCTCATCGCTTTTAGCCAGTTTCCATCTGTAAGTCGGAGGGGTGCTCTGTGTATAACGGGCTTTTTCTTGAGTTTAGTGGCTTTCCAAAGGGAGTAGTTTGTTGTTTGCGTTGGAGACAACTGTGAAATATAATTTTCGTATTCTATGCGATTTTTTTCTTTGAGTAATCTCTGAAGTGCTTTCGTCAGATTCTTGAGTTGTTTTTTAATACGGGGGGATCGTTGTTGTTGCCATTGGCGTCGTACTTGTCGTTTCTCCTGTATAAGGGTTGCAATTTCGTTCGATGTATGGTAGTTTATAGGTTTGTGGGGTATTGGGAGTGGGGTTGATATTCGAGCGGCTTGTTGAAGTAAAGCTGTGAAGTCCTGGACTGCCTTGTCAATTTCAATATTTGATTTTAGGGAAATGTTGGTGTTAATATGTGAGCTAACATATTTTTTAAATTTTAGCCAATTTGTGTGCTGGTTTGTGAGCTTTTCTTCAGATTTTGGATTGACTATTGTTGTGTTTCTAATCAGAATAAAAGTCGGCGTGTGATCAGAGGAGAGTTCTAAGGATGCCTCGGTAGCAATTTGATCTCTTTTTAAATTCTTTGTTACCGCAAAATCAATGACGTCTGGAGTTTTTTTCCGATCTGAAGGCCAGTATGTTGGTGTGCCAGTGGAGGATATGTTAAGGTCGAGTTTTGATATCACGTTCATCAGGGATTTTCCTTTGGTGATATAAGTCTTGAGCCCCAGAATGTGTGTTTGGCATTGAAGTCGCCGGCCGCTATGAACTTGGGTCCAAGCTTTGTAAAATATTCTTCGAATTGAAGTTCCGTTATTTTATACCTTGGTGGACAATAGATTGAGGTTATATTCAGACCTTTTATGTATTCTTCTAGACATATGCTTGTCGCCTGCATATATTCTGCTTCAAGGGTTTGAATTGGGAAGTGTTTAATGTGGGTTTTTATGAGGACAGCAGATCCGCCTCTTGCTCGTCCACTGGGGTGTTTCGAATCGTAGAGTATGTAACCAGGTATCTTAAAGTAGCTTTTCTCGTTAAAATGGGTTTCTGAGATCAGCATGACGTCAATTTGATGTGATTGTAAAAACAATACAAGTTCGTTTTTATGTTGGCTTAAGCCGTTAGCATTCCAGAAGCAAATTTTGATTGCATTCATGGTTTGGATAGGATTGAAAGTAAGATATTTGATTTTGAATCATTCCCTGCATCATATTTTGCATGGTGTTCATAAATTGTGTCATATTTTCCATAAACAGTTGGATCATGTTTTCAATATTTGAAGATGGTTTAGTAGAGTTTTCATTTTGGACGTTGCTTGGGCCAGTGAATCCTCTAACAGCGTTTGCATATGATATTTGTGTACACGTATTGTTGGAGTCAGATGGAGCATTTGGCTGAGATCGCATTTGAGTAGGGTGTGGTGGGATTACTGACTGAGAGCGGGGACGCAATGCTGGAAACATTCTTTGTTTTTCGGTAGTGTATACTACACATCCTTTATAATTAGCGGTGTGGTTGCCTCCACAATTTCCGCATTTTTTTGTTGTTGGGTCATTCTTATTTGATGTGCAATCCTTAGTGCGGTGAAAGTCGCCACATGCAACACAAACACTACGGAGTGTGCAATAGGACTTCGAATGTCCATATTCCTGACAATTAGTACACTGCACCGGGTTTTTACGCTTGTGCGGTTCTTCTACTGATATTTTTCTGTGTAGTAGGAATTGTAGGGAATAAATTGGATGAGCCTCGTTCGATTTGAGTTTCTTTCCTTCAGGTTCATAAAATTTCTGGCAGTATTTCTGGATGAACTGGCTAACATTACTGAAAAATGCTAACCAACTATTTTATAAATGCATTATTCGATAAAGGTATCTTAGTTTTTATATAACTATGTATATTGTAAAACATGATTAGCTGAAATCACATGCAAAAGCAAAATTGTTGAAATTTATTTTAGGTACTCTGTCTTCGTATATAAAAATCGTTTTATATACCTATTAACAGTAATTCAATAAATAAATGCATACGTAAAAAAGCTCAGTTATACATTAAAATACGTTTAGTTAAATACAAATTGTTAAAGCAACGCTTATTGACATTTAGAAAAAAATTCTACGTTAAAAAGACGAAATAAAGCCTCATGAGCTAAATATTATATGCCAAGCTCTTGACGACTGTGTTAAAATTTAGAAAGTTTAACACATATATCATATTACATGAAGATCGTTAACAGCCTCATCACTTCAAGACTTGTCTTCCTTTTCACACGCATTTTAGTCGACATCTTATGTTCTTACTATTATAAAAATACAATTTAATATTAAAATTTAAAATGAATTTAACAAAATTCAAATTGTATCCTAAAATGATCAGTTTTTCAAAATTTACATTCTCTGATTTATGCTACAATAATTTTAGAAACATTCGTCAAATTCAACGCTGAAGGGTACGATTTGGAATCCAACCCCAAAATGCTATGATATTGTAGACTTGAATAAATTAGAGATGCCCTTTATTGATCTTACTATGTGCCCAACTACTCCAACTGATCAAGTAAGTCCCTCAAAACAGTAAAAGAATATATTTAAAATTCAAATAAAACTTAGATTGAAAAAAACAAACTCAACAGTGGGACTCAGTATTCATCCAATAATGAGGAAGAAAGTGATGTAGGTCAACCAAACAGGAAAGTGGATATTGCTACAGAAATATTAGCGGATACTAATGAAAGCATGTTTGAAGTGGTAATTTTATTTTGTCCTACATTCATTTTTAAAGTAAAAATTCTTAAATTGACCTACTTAAATATAATAACACAATTTTAGCAAAATTTATTAAATTCCACGCCGACTGACAAAGTCGAAAACTCTATACCACAACGCTGTGGAAGTGTTGTAGAATCAATGTCGAAAGTGTGGCAATTACTTAATCCCAATGGCAATTCCGTTCCAACTGGTCGGGTTAGTATTTCAAACCTATTGTAAGAGCAATTTATTAATACAACAAAAAACCAAATATAGGTGCAAAAAATCAGACTTAATAGAAGAATATTAAATCCTCCAAAAAGGACAATGGATACAAATTTCAAAGATAAACTGACCTTAATTGAAAATTTGTTGAAAAAGGTAAGCACCGAAAACTAAATATTTTTATATACAATATTATTTATATTCTCTTATATATATATAATAATACAACTCAAGAAATGCACAGAAACAAGCGATCATACCAGTGCAGATGTGAGTAGAAGGAGCTATCATGAGGACTCTGATAAGATTATGACAAACAGTTGTTCGATTCAGGATCCAAGCACAATAAGTGATGTTGACTTGGATTTAATTGCAGACCTGAACGGAAACATATTTAAACCAGTAAACGCCATAAATTATGTATTCTTATTTATATTGATTTATTTATATATAATAATATAACTCTAGGAATGCACAGAAACAACCGATGATACAAGTGCAGATGAAAGTAGAAGGAGCTATCCTGAGGATTCAAGTGATAAAGATTTGTCGAAGAGTTGTTCGATTCAGGAGTCAAGCACAACAAGCGCTGATGACTTGGAGTCAATTGCAGATCTGAACGAAAACATATTTAAGCCGGTAAGCGCCATAAATTATGTATTCTTATTTATATTGATTTATTTATATATAATAATATAACTCTAGAAATGCACAGAAACATTCCTTTTTCTTGCGAGGTAATTGCAAGAAAAAGTTTGTTATGAATAAAACTGTAAAATGAAAGAAATTTGAAAAACAATTATTTCGAACAATTATTTGCAACTTCATATTTAATAGAACGGAAACGTAAATGCATTGATATATTATATTGTGCTTGAAATAATTCTAAGATATATATTTTATACGTTTATATATGTATGAATATAGTACATATATTTTTCATATATTTAGAAATTAATATTTAATATTATTTATTTAACATTGATTTATTCATATATTTATTTATTTATTTGGATATATTTCTTATATGACATGAGGTAAATTCCGTAAATAATTATTTATGTATAAATAGTAATAATAATGGAACATACATCTTGCGGCTTTCCATTACTTTTATATTGAAATTGTGGTAGCGATTAGCAGATATTTTT